GCCACTGCATGCACTGCGGGGGATCTGGGGGAGGGGGGACATGTTTTCCCCCTTGGCTGCCCTGTGCCACACCTCTGGACAACCAGCTGGGGTCTGACTGCCCCACGACCCGGCCTGGCCTGGCTGGGGCCCCATTCATAGTGAATGGGGTCTCAACTGGGCCAGGTTATGGGACAATCACAGTGCAGCATGGCACCATGTGCCTTGCTGCCCAGCTCACCCAGCGGTGGGACTCACATGGCACTGCACCCATGCTGCTGTCAAAGCAGCAGCAGGAAGGTAGGGAGCAGAGGCCGAGCCAAGCCTGCAGCTGCAGCCCGCCCTTGCCCCATGCACAGATCAGGGTGGGCATGTGCCCGCCCCCCCCAGCACCATGCCTCCAACTGCCCCACAACCCAGCCCAGCTAGGTCGTGGGGCATTCCCCACAGTGCAGGAGGGAACGGGGCAAGGGTGAATAATTTGCCCCTGTCCCATTCCCTCCTGCACTGTGGGGGTCTCAATCTGCTCCCCCTTCCCAAGCCCAGGCAATCAAAAAGAAACTAGATTCAAAGAAACTTAAAATTCTTTAAATTTCTTTAAACCTTTAAATTCAAAAGAATTAAATTGGAAGTTGGTGGGGGGAGTTGACAACACATAAGTGATCAACATTAGGTATGTTCCTACTGCCTATCAGACAGACACACCCTAGAAACTGCCAAGGATTGTGACAGAGAGCAGACACTTTGTGTCCTGACAGAGGAGGCACACGAGATATAGGCTGATTACCTCTTCATGCCAGGAGGCTGTAGTGAGGAACAACTTGAGTCACTCATCTTTTCACACAAAGAAAGGAAGATGCAACTGAAAACTAGTTTTGCATTCCCTTTTACCAGTAGTGAAACTCACAGCAGTAGCAGTTACTCTGGGGCTTGGAAGTGGGAATAGGAAGTGGTACTCTAATACTGCTCTCACCTTTTCACATATGGATGCTGCAGGGCCTCCTCAGCTGTCAGCCGTTTATCAGGGTTAAATACCAAGAGCTTCTTTAGAAGGTCCAGAGCTAGAGGGGGTGTAGATGAAGGTAAAAGTTCCTCAAATGTCACTCGTTGTCTGAAAGTTAAGAAATTAAGCTGTAATTCACATTGCCCAATTTTACTGAAAAGTCTTATCTTTCAGCACTGGAAATATAATAGAGGTAAAACCTGCCAACTCAGACTGCACTCACATGCAGTATAATTTTCTTGAAGTCTCTCACTTGGCAAACTACAATTACAGAAACTCCTCTCAGTTTTCTAATGGTTAGTCATGTGAAGTGAAGAAAAACAAAAAATATTTTTATCAGTTTAAGATTGTAAATTAAAGTTGCTGGCAACACATACGCACAAATAATCTTACTAAATTTTTTAAAAGTCCACTTAGAAAAAAGTCATTTGTTTTATCAGGATTTCAGATCCCTTTGTAACATCATACTAATCACTATTGAGCTCTTTCGCTGATTTGACATTGAAAAGAAACAAACAGTCTGTGCAACTGGTGACCCCTAAGCCTTGCCTGAATAGTATAAAGAGTTAAAAAAAAATGAAGGAAAGAATTTAAGACAGAGGTACATGGAAAAGTAAATAAAAATGTTGGGTTTACACATGTTAGATCATGCCATGCTAACCCAGTATCTTTCTTTGATAACTGATCTGAACTTAACATAATATGTCATTTAACATTTCATCCCGTGAGGATATAAAAAGCAGAAAAGAAAAAGGCTATTTAAGCCAAAGGACAATACTGGCAGATGAACAAATAGGTATAAATTGGTTCTGAGTAAATTTGGATTGCAAATGAAAAGTTGTTAAGCATCTGAGGAGTAAAATTCTGGTACAGCCTTCCAGAAGATGTGTGAGCAAACAACCTAACAAGTTTTAAAATAGACCTTGGTAAGTTTACAAACAGGATTATGTAAGCTCTTATCCTTTAGCACCTGCTGTGCTAAGGAGTTTCTGAAACTGCAACTACCAAAGGTGTCAGTAAGGAAAGGCAAAAACAGAAGTGTCCTTTCTCACTCAGGTATCACAAAGCACAATGGATAGGTAAAACACAAGGGGAGAAGTCCAAAAACCAGTGGAGATACAAGTCCCAGGGGAGTGTATGTAATAACCTGTTCTAAGATATATGAAGAGATGCGTACACACAGGCATAATACTAGTGAAAAAAAAATATTACTTTTTTTTTTTTTAAATAAAGATGATGGAAAATTGAGATTTGTCAGTCAGAATCAACATGAAATCATGTTGACTTCTTAGAAAAGCAAAAGGTGTAATTTGTCCTGCAAAACTGTTCTTGAATAAGAGCACCACTGACAAAATACTTTTTTAATCAAAGTTCTTTATTTGCTAGGAAGAACATGGAAGAGAATAAAAAAAAAAAAAATCAAAACAAGGAAAGAGAAAAAAAAAGAGGAGAAACAGGATGCAAGTAAGCAGGAGCGAAACAGGTTAAGACTGCATTAGCCAGTTGTGTAAATTATAGTTAAGGAAAAGGCCAGGCTACAAGTTAAGGGTTTTTCCTCAGACTATATTCAACAGAAGCTGAGAACTGATAACTCAGTTCTTCTATGAGAGGTAGAATTAACCCTTGATCCAAGAACACCATTTATGTAACTTAGAGACAGTGCAGAACATGCCGGGGTGTCCACCAGCTCAAGCAGATTCGAGGACTGAACCCCAAAAGGAAAATTCTGCCTGTAATCCACATCTGGCTGGTTTTGCACTCATGTGTGATCTACCAAATTGCACTGTTGTAACATGACCTATTTTTATATTTCTTGTTTTTCATAAGTAGCAGTGAAAGAAGAATTGTGTTTGCTACAAGGGTGGAGGCCACCCTCTGTCTTGAGCTATGCATCCTACTAATTAGCATTCGCTTTTTCTGTAAGATAAGCTAGGCTTCTAATAAAGTCTTCCAGGTATTTAAGACTTCATTTTACTTACAGTCTAAGTAACTCGTAGTCCCTACAGGTTGGGAACAAATATACATACTTTTTAAAATAATTCATACACATTTGCTATCACAAATTATAGAATGAGCACCAGCTATCCTCATCTACTCACTGTCTGATATGTCCTCTGCAAGTAAGTGGTCTCAACAGATCAAATGCCATGCCCACGGATTAGGCAAGGATCCAAGACCTTTGATTCACTTACCTGACAACTTCTGTTTCCCTTTTAAGAACAAATTGCATCAAACACATCCAAGCAGGATTGAGAACATAAGAAAGCATACCACTGTGAAACCTCACAACTTACTGACCTGGAATTTGGGCCACGGCAAGCAAAACGCTTATCAATTAATAATATTCACTGATCTTGTCAGAGTCTGCTATAGGTTCAGTTACTATTTCTATCAAATAGGTGGGGACCTACCTAATACAGGGTGGATGTCCCCTGAGGTCCAAGTACAGTGCTGGTCGCCATTTTCAAGGTGGAGTGCGGCAGGGCCCCCCTACACTTCTGATTGGCTGAGGGGTCCTGGAAGTTCTGGCCCTCTCCGGAGATTGACAGATGGCCATTTGGGGTTGGGGGGGACTATACCCCCACTGTGAAAATCTCTACCCCCCCGTGTTTCAGGATGCCAGGGCTTTCTGCCCTTTTGTTTTTGTACCTTTTTTTTTCACCCACTTGCTGCTCATTTCACATTTTTCATGGTCCCCATGCTTTTTTGTGGGAGACTGTCCAAATTTACTGTTTCTGTGAAAATTGCAAAGTTATGAATTTGGTAGGTAACTAACCTGCAGAGAATCTGCAGTTAGTGAATCTGCAGAGAAAGGAAACCACTAATAAATGGCTGATGCACTTTCCCCCCCTTGTCCTGGTTAAAAAAAATGAAAAAGTAGAAGGCTCACCTGGAACAAATGCGGTTGATAACTGAGGCTCTGTAGTTTGACTGCATAGCTAAAATATCTGCAAATAAAGAATAGATTCAGTGACTGTTATAGACATAACTGACATCCCAGGGTCACACAGCTGATGACAAGAAATCTTGCATTTGAGTTTAAGGAGTTAAGATTGCTAGAGAGAATTCATCCCTTTACTCTTCTCTAGTGCTTTCTAAGAAAGAATCTTAATTCCTTTACTTTAATTAATGGATGTAGCTTCATAGCTCCTTGTAAGATGCTCAATGTAAGAATTAGCTCTATTTAAAAAATGAAAATGGAATAACATTTCTGTATACAACAGCAGGTGCTGTGTAGGGAGGGGATAGAAAAGTAAGGATAAGGACCTTACATATCCTACACTGGGAGATTTTTGTCAGCTGAGGTTCTTTATTTGGCAAATAAAGACATAACAAAATCAAATGGCTAGAAACCGAATCTAGACATATGCAGACTAGGACTAAGGTTCAGTTAAATACAGTTAAGTATAATTAACCGCTAGAACAATTTACTCTTGGTAAATCCTCCATTACCTAATGGTTATGTTTCCAAAAACTGTATGCTAGCTCTGACATATGATATTGGCATAATCAGAAACTTCTGGCTGGAATTAAAGCCTGTGTTGTGAAAGATCAAGCCAGATCATAATAATCCCTTCCTGCTCTAAAATATATAAAGTGCAGGTTACTAGCTCTGGTTCAGATCAGACCAGGCCAGAGAGCCTAATTATTACATCAGCTACCTTAAAATATACTACCCTGCCATCAACCACCTCCAAGCTTGTTGGAAGCAGAGAGTTCTCCTCTCACCTAATCACCTAGGGTTTTATTCTCCAGACTTTCCCTGACATTCCTCTCCTTAAAGACTTTTGACTTCCTGGGAGGGAGGAAGAATGACTCATGATGGAGAACATCTTCCCTGAAGCAACTGGACTGCTTTCTTCCCACCCTTCCCATCTCTCTTCTCATTAAATATTCTCCTTCATGGAAAAAATTCTCACCTTCTGGGGATGGGGCAGGAATGACACTCAGTATCTTCTCTATCTGATTCACTGTGGATGTTCCAGGGAAAAGAGGTTTTCCAAGCAGCATCTCTCCCAGAATGCAACCAATGCTCCACATATCCACTCCCTTTGAGTAGCTAAGAAAAAAAACAGAGGGCAATAGGATAGGAGCTAAGCCAATAAGTTCGTAACAGTTATCTCCTACCTTCTGTCATGCCTTCCCATATAAAAAGGAAATCCAAATGTATTCATTTTTTCCAACAGGGAGGTTGTACCAATGTCCTGTGCTTAAGAAGGAAGGTAAATAAAGGAAACAACTGTGTGCTACCTTGCTGGGATTTATTTGCAACAAACTAAAAATTAGAATGCATGTTAATTTCTAAGAAATGAAACTATGTGGTCAGCAAAAAAATCTCTTGGAACCATAAATAGCCAGATAAGAGTGACAACTACTGAAGCAGAATAAAAGGTGAATGATGGGCAAGAGACAGCTTGTCAAAACATCCACATTCTGTAACTGAGGTCTGAACCCAGTTTGTGTTTACATAATTAAACAATTAACTTTTGCAGAACAAAGGAAAAGTAATTTTGGCTTTTAAAATACAGTAAAATTTCCTTTCCATCCTTGATAAAATAATAAAATCAAATATTAAAAGAAAAACTGTTATAGGGTAAGGGTGGCTATGCCAGACCAAATGTCCTGGATCTTGTCTCATGTTAAAACAGAGGTGGGCAAAATAAAGCCCACAGTCTGGATTCGGTCCACGAATTGATTGTATCCAGCCCGTGGCTGCCCCCCGGGTATTCCACATGGGGCTGATCCCTGCCCACTCCCACCCAGGGCAACACAGTCCCTTTCCTACATCTACTGAAGGAAAAAATACTATATAAAACCCATCACTTTTACCTCTGAACAAAAGAATTAATAAATGAAACCCCCCAATCCTCTCCACAGGGATAGGGCAAGCACTGCGTCAAGGAAAGTAGCCAGAAAGTGAGGAAAAAAGCCCACCATCAGAAAATACTTAAGTCCAGACTGGGGAAGAAGGGCTGACCAAGGAGAACTAATGAGCAGGGGTAAATGTGAGTGAATGGGGGTGATGAACAGTCAAAGGGGAGGCATACAAGTGAATGGCAAGGCCAACTGTTGTGTAAGAGATGAGTGTAGAGAAGAGAGTTTAGATGTGCATAGACATGTGTAAGTTTGAGCTGAAACAGGAGTATATGTGCCAGTCTTTATGATATAGGAGGACTACAAGTTTTTTTTACTTCTGCTGGTAAGTTTTCCTGATAATGTTGTAAAGGTGTAATACCACAAGAACTGAATTCCTAAACCTTCTCAGAACAGCCCATCTCCAAAATATCAAGCAAACTGTTCCCCAGTCTTTCAGTTACCTGTGAGAGGAAAGCAGGATCTCAGGAGCACGGTACCAGCGTGTTGCCACATATTCTGTTAGTGTAGGGTTGCCTTGGTCCTCATGGAGCTGACACAAGGAGCGGGCCAGACCAAAATCACAAAGCTTAACAAAACAGTCTGCGTCCAGCAGGATATTTGAAGGCTGTAGTTGAATACACAATATGATAAGTTCTTTATTCTCTGTGCAAAAGAGGAAGGATAAGAAAACCTATGCCAGGCTGCAGCTGCTCCTGCTAGAACAAGCAAGAGAGCATGAGTGTTTCAGAAGACAACTGACAAAGCAGATATGAATTACTCCCTTCAAGTTGTGAAATAGTCTTGTCTGTTTCCTCACTTCCTTCACACCTCTCCATAAACCATTTAAAGCAAGCCTTCACTGAAAGAAAAACGCTTCCCTTTAGGTAAGAACTAATGATTGCAAATGCACCTTTTGGTCTCTGTGAATGACATTTCCCGAATGGATGAATTTGGTGGCCTTCAATAGTTGGTAGAGAACGTAACACTTGTGGATGTCTTTCAATAAACTCCCTTTCTTGATCACAGCATGCAAATCTGTCTCTGTAATACAAAATATTAACAAATTATTGGTCAGAGATGTAAGAGGCCCAAAGATAGGACATCAGGTCTATTTCCTAAATACCAACATTTCTAGCTCATTTTCAGCAGGAGCTGAGCAAGGTGACTGTTGAAAATCTACAGTGATTCTGAGAATACCATAACCTCTTCAACATTGGTTCCACTTCTGAATGTTGGGGATATTACATGCTTAACTTCAGAGTTACTGCAGCAGCTTCACACACGGCAGAGAAAACCACTTATATCCCTGGACTCTTCAAAGTTCTTTTCAACTTTCCCTTACGGTACTTGTTGACTAACACAATTAGAGTTGCAGCTAGCAAGGGATGTGAAGGGTAACAAGATTTCATAGATTATTAGGGCTGGAAGGGAGCTTGAAGAACATCAAGTCCAGCCCCCTGCCCCAGGGGCAGGAAGTCAGCAAGGGTCAAAGGATCCCAGCGAGATAAGCATCCAAACGTTTCTTGAATGAGTCCAGAGTAGGTGCCAGTACCACTTCTGGAGGGAGTCTGTTCCAGGCCTTGGGGGCTTGGACAGTAAAGAAGTTTTTCCTTCTGTCCAGCCTAAAACAGTCATGGAGGAGTTTATGACCCTTGGTCCTTGTTATCCCTGGGGGTGCTCTGGTGAACAGATGTTCCCCCAGATCCTGATGCAAGAGTTTCTACAAGTATGTCAGTAGCAACAGGAGGATCAGGGAAAGTGTAAGTCACATACTGAATGGAGGAGGCAATCTTGTAACACAGGATGCAGAAAGGGCTAAAGTACTTTATGCCTATTTTGCCTCAGTCTTCACAGGCAAGGTCAGCTCCCAGACTACTGCACTAGGCAGCACAGTTTGGGGAGGAGGGGAGCAGCCAACAGCAGTGAAAGAACAACTTAGGCACTATTTAGAAAAGCTGGACATGTACAAGTTTATGGGGCTGGATGGGATGCACCCAAGGGTCCTGAGGGAGTTTGCTGATGAGACTGCAGAGCCACTGGCCCTCACCTTTGAAAACTCACCGCAATTAGGAGAGGTCCCAAATGACTGGAAAAGAGCAAGTATAGTGCCCAATTTAAGAAAAGGAGAAAGGATGATCCAGAGAACCACAAACCAGTCAGCCTCATCTCAGTCCCTGGAAAAATCATGGGGCAGATCTTCTCAGAATCCATTTCTAAGCACTTGGAGAAGAAGGTGACGTAAACAGTCAGCAATCAAGGGCAAGTCATGTCTGACCAACCTGATTGCCTTTTATGATGAGATGACTGGCTATGTGGATGCTGGGAGACGGGTGGATGGGGTGTACCTTGATTTTAGCAAGGCTTTTGATAGGTCTCCCACAACATCCTTGCAGGAAAGCTAAGGAATCATAGAATCATAGGGCTGGAAGGGACCCCGAAGGATCATCAGGTCCAGCCCCCTGCATGAGCAGGAAAGACATCTGGAGTCAAACGACCCTAGCCAGGTGACCATCCAGTCTTCTCTTGAGGACCTCTAGGGTAGATGATTGCACCACCTCTGTGGGGAGCTTATTCCATAGTCTGGACACCCTTGTGGTAAAGAAGTTTTTCCTAATGTTCAGTCTGAAACTATCTTCCAGGAGTTTGTGGCCATTGTTTCTAGTTTTCCCCCACGGCGCCCTAGTGAACAGTTGTTCACTGAGCCCCTGATGTAAGCCTCTGATATAGCAATAAGCCGCAATCAGGTCCCCTCTCAGCCTTCTTTTCTGTAGGCTGAAGAGTCTGAGATCCCTCAGCCTCTCCTCGTATGGCTTGCCATGCAAGTCCCTGATCATCATCTTCAGCTTTAGCGCATCCTTGTTGAAGTGCGGTACCCAGAACTGGATGCAGTACTCCAGCTGCGGCCACACCAATGTTGAGTAAAGTGGGAGAATCACTTCTTTGGATTTATTGGAGATGCATCAATTGACACATGCCAGAGTTTTATTGGCCATGCGGCTACTGTCACATTGCCGGCTCATATTTATGCTGGGGTCTATTGTTCATTTGTAGTGCTGGTTAGCAATGCCCAGCCTGTAGGTGTGCTGGCAGCTCTTCCTTCCCAGATGCAGCACTTTCCATTTCTCTGTGTTGAACCTCATCTGGTTCCCTTCTGCCCAACATGCCGGCCCATCTAGGTCTGCTTGTATCTGCAGCCTATCTGCGGGTGTGTCCACACAACCTCATACCTTGGTGTTGTCCATGAACTTGGCCAATGGGCTTTTCACCCCCTCATCCAGGTCGTTAATGATGATATTTCAGTTTAATAGTTTCATAGATTAAGGGTCGGAAGGGACCTAGTAGATCTTCTAGCCCGACCCCCCGCCAGGGCAGGAGAACAACAAAAACCCCAAAAACAAGAAACGGGACTCAAATGAGTCCAGCCAGGTAGGCATCCAGCCTCTTCTTAAAGACCCCCAGGGTAGGGGCCAGCACCACTTCCCTTGGAAGTTGGTTCCAGCTCCTAGCCGCCCTAACTGTGAAGTAGTTTTTGCGGATGTCCAATCTATACCTCCTCTCCATCAACTTGTGCCCATTACTCCTTGTTATGCCAGCGGGCGCTAGGGGAAACAGCGTCTCCCCCAAACCCTTCTGGTCCCCCCTAGTGAGTCTATAGACTGTCACCAGGTCCCCCCTCAGCCTTCTCTTGTGGAGGCTGAATAGGTTCAGGTCCCGCAGTCTCTCACTGTAGGGTCTGCCCTGTTGTCCCCGGATCATGCGGGTGGCCCTCCTCTGGACCCTCTCCATGTTGTCCACATCCCTCTTGAAATGGGGCGCACAGAACTGGACACAATACTCCAGCTGTGGCCTGACCAGCGTCACATAGAGGGGGAGGATCACCTCCTTGGCTCTACTCGAGATGCACCTGTGGATGCACGACAAGGTCCGGTTAGCCCTGCCAACCATGACCTCGCATTGTCGGCCCATGTTCATCTTGGAGTTCATATTGAACAGCACTGGGCCAAATACCGGCCCTTGGGGTACGCTGCTGCCCACATCTCAAATGGATCAGTGTCGTCCTGGCATTTGTACTCTGTGTCCTACCCTGCAACCAGTTTCGCACCCACTTGATGGTCCCGCAGCTGAGCCCGATATCTGCCAGTTTGAGATCATTACCTCGTGGGATACCAGGTCAAAGGCTTTCTGGAAGTCGAGGTATGTGATGTCAACCACTTTTCTCTCATCCAGGTGACGAGTCACCTGATCATAGAAAGAGATGAGGTTGGTCAGACAAGATCTGCCCGCAACAAAGCCATGCTGGCTGTCATTCAGTATCATGCCTTTTGCAAGTTTGTCACACATAGCCTCATAGTTTCTAGGGTCGGAAGGGACCTGAACAGATCATCAAGTCCGAGCCCCTGTTCTTGGCACGAACGAGTACTGGGATCATAATACCCCAGTCAGATATCTATCCAACCTCCTCTTGAAGACCCCCCAAGGTAGGGGAGAGCACCACCTCCCTTGGGAGCTCATTCCAGAGCCTGGCAGCCCTAATGGTAAAGTAATGCCTCCTGATATCAAGCCTGAACCTACTCTCAATCAATTTGTGGATGTTATTTCTTGTTATCCCAGGTGGTGCTCGGGGGACGAGAGCCTCTTTGATGAATGTTTCTAGGATTTTCCCTGGAATAGAAGTTAAGCTAACTGGATTGTAGTTTCCCAGGTCTTCATGCTTTCCCTTCTTGAAGATGGGCACAATATTGGCCCTCTTCCAGCCCTCCACTGGAAGTATACGTGGGATGAATGGATTGTAAATTAGATAGAAAACTGGCTGAAGCATCAGGCTCAGAGGGTAATAATCAATAGCTCAATGTCTAGTCAGCAGCCAGTATCAAGTGGAGTGCCCCAGGGGTAGGTCCTGCAGCTGATTTTGTTCATTGTCTTTGTCAACAATCTGGAAAATGGCACACAGTGCACCCTCAGCAAATGTGAAGATGACACCAAGCTGGGGAAAGCAGTAGATATACTGGAGGGTAGGGCTAGGATTCAGAGTGACCTTGAACCTCATGAGATTTCTTTTGGTCCAATTTGTCAACAAGAACAAGTGCAAAGTCCTGGACTTAGAACAGCACAATCCCATGCACCGGTACAGGCTGGGGGGCTGACTGGTTGGGTAGCAGCTCTGCAGAAAAGGACCTGGGGGTAACAGGGGATAAGAAGCTGAATAGATGCCAGCAGTGTGCCCTTGTTGCCTAGAAGGCTAACAGCATCCTGGGCTGCATTGATAGGAGCATTACCAGTAGGTCCAGGGAAGTGATTATTCCCCTCTATTCAGCACTGGTGAGGCCCCATCTAGAGTACTGTGTTCAGTTTTAGGTTCTCCACTACAGAAAGGATGTGTAGAAATTGGACAGTCCAGCGGAGGGTGACAAAAATGGTGAGGGGGCTGAGGGACCTGACTTGTGAAGAAAGACTGAGGGAACTGGGCTTATTTAGTCTAAAGAAGAGGAGACTGAGCGGGGATGTTATAGCAGCCTTCAACTACCTGAAGGGGGGTTCAAAGGAGGATGGAGCTGAACTGTTCTCAGTGGTGGCAGATGATGGAAAAAGGAGCAATGGTCCCAAGTTGTAGCAAGGGAAATTTAGGGTAGATATTAGGAAGAATTTTCTCACAAGGAAGGTAGTAAGACACTGGAACAGGTTACCCAGTGACATGGTGGAAGCTCCATCCTTGGAAGTTTTCAAAACCTGGCTAGATGAAGCTTTGGCTGGGATGATCTAGTTGAGGATGGTCCTGCTTTGAGCAGGGGGGTGGACTAGATGCGACCTCCTGAGGTCCCTTCCAACCCTAACTTTCTATGATTCTAGCTCTTCTGCCAGTCCCTGTCCTGCTGCTAGGCCTCAGTTAAAAGGGCTGCATTCAAATTTAAGGGTTTTACATCAATCATACTAAAAAAGTAAAAATATGTGGTTGCCAGTAAAAAGCAAACAGTAAAAAAATAATCTTGGTTTGGAATTTCTGCTTGACTACAGTGATGGTTTTACACTGTGCTGCCTCCAACCCCTGCCAGGGGCCCCCTACTTGTCCCTACACTCTGACATCCCTGACTGCATCCTGAACCATGCTGCCCCACCCTAGTCCATCCCCTCCCCAGCCTTAAAACCCTGCCACGCCCATCCCCCTCATCTGGGCATGGACCCCAAAAAAGCCCACCTGCAACCTAGAAGTATTTCAGGTACTCTGAGATGCAGCAGCAGCATGTGGCTGACAAAATACATCCTGGAGGATTCTGTGCTCCCATCTGGACATGAGGTGGCACTGCTGCGCTCTGTCTGTCACGGTTTCGATCAAGCTGTAGCTGCTTAGCGTTTTTACTGAAAGTTTTGTTTGTTTGGTTTTTTTACAGACTTTACTGACAGCCATTTTAAGCGGATTTTTTATTGACAAAGTTACTGACAGTTGGCAACCCTGTTATAAGCTTACATTCAGCATATTCACACAATGGTTGATATTAGTATGAATCACTTTCTCCCTAAATCATTTCCCTGTTCCATTAATTCTTCCTAAACAGAATCGCATTGCACATAGACACCCATTTACTTTTTACCTCTCTCTCTTCATCCCTTGTAAGCGGTCTTCCAATTCTGTTCTCATGTAATTGCTTCACTACATTCAGCCATATCACTGCTTTACCTCTCCATTTGCTCCACCCAACCAGCATGTCTATCATTCTCATTGATCTATCTGCCTAGATTAATATTCCTACCAATCCCCCAAAAGAATCTTTATATTCTGCTGCTTTCATGGGAAATGAATCAAGAGAAAGAATTCAAATGACCCAAACAGAGGTGGTTCTCACCCATAGACTCAAAAACCAGATAGATGTCCTTGTCATTCTGGGCTCGTATGACATCAAGCAATTTGATGATGTTTGGATGTTCCCCAAATTCCTGCAGGAAAAAAAAAAAAAAGACACCCACTTGTGAGACTCGAATGTAGGCTGTACTGGAGCACTGGGCAGTACAAGCACTGATTAGCATTAGCACATACAGTACTCACATAGAGGCATTGACCAATGTAGGCCTCACTAGAACAGTAGAACAGTGACTGATACATGAACTGCTCATACAAGCTTGAGCTGCAATAAGCATATACAAGGTTGGTACAAGATGATAGAGAATGATACAAGATGCATGAGACTGCCAGGAAGGCAAGCCAGGTGTATCAAGGACAGGACAGTGCAATATTCATTTGATAAAGACAGAAAAGGAACACACAGATCAGGATGCATGACAGGTACAGTGCAGTACAAATGTATTATTCAGTTTCTTCTAGTCAAAATGTTTTTGTTAGTTATGTATGGACTGATCTACAGAAAAGAGGAACTGGGAAACTTGGAACTTTGTGCTGGCTTGGCAGATGTAGTTTGTGCTAATACCTTGTTGCAGGCAAGCACAGGCGAATGGAAAGGAGAGCACTGTGTACTGCAGACAATAAAACTCTGAGTCTTCATCGCTGAATGAGCCTGTGGTATTTGTGTATGCTGTGAGCCTCATACACTGCAGTCATAGACAAGCAGGTGTTGATCAAACACAACATCAAGTACCTTCGTTTACAACCTAGTGGAGGTAGGAAAACGCAACACACAGTGCTTCCTATTACACTTCAAAATAAACACCAGTTTATCTTCACCATAAAAAGGCTGGAGACCACTGTCTTATGGCAATGAGTTCCATACTTCAATTACGTACAATGTGAAGAAGAACTTGATTTGTTAGTTTTAAACAAACCTTAATCTAAAAACTGTTAACCCAAATTAGGAACCAACCCTAAGTATTAACTTACATATTTAATACCTAAAGCATAGAAACATTTGATCACAGAAGTATGATACTAACGGTGTCTTCAATATTATTATTATCAAACAAGATTATGTTTAGTGGGTTACAAAGCTGTACAACATCTTGACAGATGAAAGCAGACATGACAAGTCAGTCAGTCAGTGGTGTTTGGCATTGTGCTGCAGGGAGAAGAACCTGATGTGCAAGCTGCAAACCTTCCCACAGGGGCTACAGGTCCACTCGCCAGATGGAAGCTGAAACAAACTTTTCTTTCTGGCTTTCCTGCAGGCTTCAGCCTGGGCTCTCTGACAGTGTCCTGTGGTGACTGCACCAGCCTTGATCCAGCTTCTCTAGACTGAGCAGTTATGGGCAGGGTTCTCTCAGCTGTCAGTGGAAACACTGACTTTCTTGAGACCTTGCCACTGTATCAGAGCTTTGGCCTTCCTCTGTGTCGCAGGCAGTTCTCGAGTTGGCCATAAAGCACAGCCTTTATCAGACGATCTTGAGGCACGCACTCCACATGTCCCAGCCAGGGAAGTCTGCAAGCATCCAGCATAGTGTGCATAGACTGGATGCCAGTTCTCTCAAGGATCTCATTGCTGGTGATCCATTAGTCCCAAGTAACTCTGCTCCTGCTTGGAGTACGTGACCCAGCTTTCACAGGGGTAAAAGGAGGGTACTGAGGACATAGGCCTCATAGACAGACACCTTTGTGTTCAGGGTTAGCAGCTTGTTATTCCAGACATGCGAGAGAAGTTTGCCAAAGGTGACTGAGGCTTTGCCAATTCTCACATGAAGCTCTCTAGAAAGGCTAAAATGAGCTGGTAAGAGTTGAGCTGAGATAGCAGAAGTGATCTACATTGTCCAGAGCTTCATTACTGAAGTAGATTTTGGGTGGGATGTCGGTGTCCTGTGATATGACAACTGTCTCCTTAATACTGGTGATTACCATACCAAACTTGGTGTATTTTCATCATGATCTGCAATTTGTCAGTTGAGTTACAGACAAATGTAGTTTCATCTGTGAAAAGCGGATCCTGGATTTGCTCTGAAACTGTCCGATGTTGAACAAGCAGCTGTCTGTCTTTGATTCAATTAGTATGCCAGCTTGATCATTTCCAAAAGCGTACTTGAGAAGGTGTTATCAATATTATTATTAGCAAACAAAATGATGTTTAGTTAGTCAACATTTCAGCAGAATAAACCCTAGGCATCCAAAACCATGGAAAAAATAGCTGAGAGGAAAGCCCTGTGCACTTCTTTCCACCTACATATTGCCTATGACGCTGCTAATAATACGCTCCAATATTCCAAAGAAACTCTCACTTCTACCTTCACGAGCTACCCAAAAGCAATCTATAAATCATTTTTGAATCTTGCACTCTTAAGGAACCTAAAATAAATCCTCATAGTTTTGATGTAAACTATATTAAGAAATCATCATAGTGAACTGTCATGCAGTCATTAATCTGAGATTATTTTGCCTTAACACAGTTGGTGTCACTAAGTGTTCACATTGAAGTCAAGTTTATCTTCACCATCCACCATATGGTTCAGTTCCTTTTTACAGTTTACAATCCACATTTTGCACTGATGACAGAATTCTTAATTTCCTAATTCTCTTTTCTATGGTACTTATTACTACGGCATTGAGCACCTTAGAAATATTTGTGATTTCTCTGCCCCAGAGCTTATGGGAGAGAGACTTACTTGCATCATCTGTAGCATGGGCACAGCCATCTTGCTTGGATATTTCAAGTTCATTTTAACAACCCTTGCAGTGGTGGGACACTGAGGGCCCTCATCCCCCTGCTTTACCCGTGACAGGGTAGGGTGCTCTCAGTGGTCTTGGGCAATATGCCTTGCAGTTATGTGACAGCATCTATTTTAGCTCTAGAAACAGGTTAGACAAAACACTTGTACAGGATGGTTTGGATAGGAGTAGTGACTGGATGCTGAGAGACAACGAGACCATTATTCTTTGGAAGTAATAAAATATCTAGAGCCCATTGATTTTAACCATGGTTGGGAGCGCTCATTACTCCCAAAAAACCCTAAAAATCCTAAAGGTCTGATACACAGTGCACTAATGGGAGTCTTTCAACTGAAATGTAAGAGCTCTAGAACAACTCCAAAGCATTTCAAACTAGCTACCCAAAACAACAGAAGCCACATTTGAAAGTTCTGGTGCCTTGCGCAGCACCACCTAAAGAAGGTTGTGCCAAAGGAAGGACAGAATTCAATTTTTGTGGGTTTAGTTAATTGCCTTAACCATGGGATCACTTTTTCTTCTATAAAACACAGGCCAGATCATCCCTAACTAGTGACTGTCCAACCTGTTCTTGAACACCTTCAGTGTGGGAGAATTCACAGCTTCCCCAGGCAGTCTACTCCATTACCTCACTGTTTTAACAGTGAATACGTTTTTCCTGATATCCAGTCTAAACCTACTTTGCTACAACTTCAATCTGCTGGCCCAAGTACTACACTCTGTAGTGAGAGAAAACGTGTTCCCTCTTAAGCACCTTTTCTGCAAGCTGAACATGCGTAGCTCTGACAACCTCTCCTCATACGACTTGACTCCCAAGCTTTTTAACTTATTTGCCACCCACCTTCTAACCCTCTAATTTCACCATGTCCTTTTTTTTTTTTTTTTTTTAAGTGTGGAACTCAATACAGCATGCAGCACCCTAGGTAAGGCCTAACCCATACTGTGTAGAGAGGCACCATCACTTCTGATGTCTTCCAACTAATGCTTCTATAGATACATACCAAAACCACAACTGCCTTTGTGCAACTGCATCACATTGCAGGCTCATATCGAGTCTGTGATCTACCAAGATCGAGTCTGTGATTACTGAGATCTCTCTCCCAACTGGAGTTGGTCCAATAAAAGATAATCACCAAACATCTTGCTTTTCACTCCCCCTGCCCAAGACCATCACAACTACATTACTAAAACACACTCTTTCAGTTGTATGACATCCTCTTTAAACTGTGCATGCTAGAACTATATGCAGCCTTCCACATTCTGTTGTAATACACAAAGATAAAAATCACTTCACAAATTTTGACAGGATTTTTGTTTACCAAGTTCTGTGGCAAACATAGACTGTACATTTTCTAAACAGGGAAAGGAATAGGCAGCTTGCCGGCAGTTAAATGCTTGTGGAATCAATTCTGATGCTGCTAAGTATTTTACTTTGTTGCCTTCAGTATAGAATTGATTGTGCCACTGTAGCTATAACCTTGGAGAAATATCTTTATTTTTAAACTAAGGTAATAAATTCTTAGATAGTATACTGATGGATTTAGGGAAAGTTGAGAATCCATGCAGAATTACTTCTTACAATCCATTTTATAAACATCTCCCATCTCCTATCCTACCAAAGCAATGGCCTCTAGCCATGAGAATCTAATTTCCCCCATACCTGACAAGATCTTCCAGTCTTGACACCATGGTCTCCCTACTAAAACATCTAATGTACCTGATGAAAAAAAATCAAGGACTGACAACAAGCAGGATATATGACCAAAAAAAAAAAAAAGTGACAGGTGCAAGGACAGGTAGGAGTTAATCACAAAACAAAACTCCTGATGAAAGTGTAGATGAAACAGCGAAACCACAGGAAAAACGTAAGACAGACTCATTGTACAATGATCGTTTGTCATGGTGGGGACACAACGCAGAAAAAGAATGAGAGATATGAGAGGAGATAAAAGCTGTGTGCACTTGCACTTTGACTAAAGGGTGAGAAGTAGAGAGGCAAGTGTTGTTGGAAGAGACACTGAGGACACCTAACAACACTTAACAGAGTAGAAGGCGGGTGTCACTTACCTGCAGGAACATAATTTCTCGGAACGTTCTCTGAAATAAATGAAAACATTTATTATTGTCACAGAAAGATAAGGGATGGAAAGAGAAGTGACTGGCCAGTGAGAAGGTTAAGGCTCATTCATGGAGGACCAGATGTTCCCTACATGGGGCAGAGGCCAGGAAACAGTGTCTACAGTCCATGGTTTAAAAGCCTAGGTTGGCAACCACTTAATCATACATGTCTATGTGGGAAGAGTCCTGCTACTACCAGCCATGCAGTAGTCTGCATGTTGAGAAATATTTTTATTTGTACTGTGTAAGAGTGGAGCATGAGAGTCTTGTTTCCCATATAAATATCAAAACCCTTACTAAGATGTTGCCCTTAACTACTTGTGTGAATAAGCTCCAGAGACTTGTGCCTGAGTCAGTTTGCGAACCTTTAGAATACCTGTGAAGTCCCCATGCATATTGTCCAGAGCACGGCAGGGCACGGCTCCTCACCTGAGCATCTGTTCGGTTTCTGAAAGCATCAAAGATCTTCTTGACGGCAACAATTTCTCCTGTCCTGCGATTGACTGCTTTCCACACGATGCCATACGCCTAAGGGAAGAGGATGGCAGGCAGAATCATGGTTCGGAGGTACAGCTGCTTG